CATTTATCTGACCCCCACATCCCCCCTCTATCCTGGCCCTTTCCTCTGGAGACTCTTGTCCTTGTGCCAAAGCCTGACAGCACCTTTGCAATAGGAATAACACCCTTGTGGGTGTTTAAAAATGCTCAGTAAATAAATATACCATTTACCACACCTGATGTGGACCAGCTTTGGCATGAGGAACAGCCACCCTGTCAAGCACCAGGGCTGGGCAGCCACAGCATCCCCCAGGTGAGCTGGGCAGGGAGAGGGACAGGCACATCCCAGCACACTCACCAGACACGGGGCAAACATCCACCTGGGACACGATGCCGGTGCCGTTCTCCTTGTCCGCAGGCCACCGGTAGGTGTAGAGGGACGTGTGTGTGGAGCCGGCGTCAAACACCAGCCCGTACTGGGGGGGACAGAGGGGACATGGGTGTCAAGGGGTGCAGACCAGCACCACCACCAGCATCACCCACGCAGAGGGAGTGAAGCCCAGGAGAGCCAGCAGAGCTGCTGGTGAGCAGGGGGACCTCAAGTGGCCAAGCCAAGACTGTCACCAGGACAGAGAAATTCTGGTGACATTGCAGTCACCAGTTGTGTTGGGGTCAAGGATCCATCCCAAGCCCTTGGAGCAGGCAGTGCTTTGTGATGAAAAGGCTGTATGTGCTGTAGGGCCACTCACAGTTATCAAACTCAGTCAGACCCTCCCAGCCTGTGTGGGGCTTTGCCTCACACCAGTGACAAACAGCACAGTCTGCCTGAAACCTGGGCAAAGTCTGACACCCAATGGGAGCCAGCACCCAAGGGAGAGTGGGTGGCTGGGCTCCTCCCGAGGACCCACCTTGGTGCTGGGGGGCAGAAACACATCCTTCACGTTCACGACGCTCAGAATGAGGGCGATGATGCTGCAGACACAGGTGGCTGCCAGGAGACCTGCAACAGCCTTGGCTTTGGTGTCCATTCCTCCTCCAACCTGCAAGGACAGCCCCAGCCCCCAGCTCACACCTCAGCATTTGCAAAGACAGTTTTGAAACGCAAATTCCATGGATGGGTACGGGACCTGTCCAGATGGGCCTTTCCACTTCCCCAACAATGAAGCCATTCTGTGGTGCACAGTTGCTCTTATCATGGAATCATAAAATACACATGTCAGAAGGAACCTTTAAAACCCATCTAGTCCAACCCCCCTGCAGTGGGCAGGGACACCTTCCACTAGCCCAGGTTGTTCTGAGCCCTGTCCAACCTGGCCTTGGACACGTCCAGGGATGGGGCAGCCACAGCTTCTCTGGGCAACCTGTGCCAGGGCCTCACCACCCTTATTGCAAATAAATCTTTTAGATTAAAACCATCACCCCTTGTCCTATCACTAGAGGCTCCTCTAAAAGGTTTGTCTCTGTCTTTCTTATAAACACCCTTTAAGCACTGAAAAGCCACAATAAGCTCTCCCTGGAGCCTTCTCTTCTCCAGGCTGAACACCCCCAGCTCTCTCAGCCTGTCTCCACAGCAGAGGTGCTCCAGCCCTCAGAGCATCTCCATGGTCTCCTCTGGACCTGGTCCAACAGGACTCTTGGGAGTCTCAGGGCTGGAACTCCCTGTGCTTCTGAGCTCTCCTTCCTCAGAGGATTTTCAGCATGTTTTTTTCAGCCCCTCAGATCCCTCTGTGCCTGGACCCCAGCCCTCTGCCCTGCTCAAACTGTGGCTGGGTGGCAGGTCAGCATCTTCCTTCCCAGCAGGAGCACTGTGGGAAGCATGGCCGTGTCTGGCTGGAGTTCCAGTCTGGAAGGAGGACCATGCCCTGCCAGGTTCCCATTGTGGCCAGAGCTGCACATCTCCAACACCCACTCATTTGGGCCATCAGGTCACATCCACTGTCCAACAGGCCCAGCCTATCCCTGAGAGGGTCCTCTCTGCTCTAGGCAGGGGAACAGTATCTCCAGCCACGTGTCTCCTGCCTGGTCCAGCTTTTCTCCACTCCTGCTGATGCCACAGCAGGTAAGACACACAGGGACAGCGCTGTGGTGATCCCCAAGCCTCTGCTGCAGCCCCAAGGGCAGGCAGGAGGGCAGAGGCAGGCAGCTCCTGCTGATGTGGGCACACAGCCCACAGCCGGGCTGGCATGGCCGCAGCAATGGCCCCTGGGGACAGGAGCAGGACCTGCACCTCCCACTGGTCTGGCCAGAGCTCAGCTCCAGCAGAACCAGCCCCAAGACACCCATAAGAAGTTGCAGCAGAGAAGCAAAGCCAAAGTGGTTCTCTGTGACAGGCTCCGCACAGGGACAATGACACGTCCACGTGCTCAGCACCCCAGAGCTGGTCCAAATGGACTTTTCTGAATGCACAGCTCTCCTTCCTGCCCTGCCCTGCCCCATGCCACGAGCTGCACAGGCAGGATGCCAGCAGGGAGCCAGGCTTTCCTCTCCTCACACTCTGACTCAACAGTGGATATCCTGAGAGCCCTGGGCACAGCCACACCAGTGCTTTGGGTGGAACCTGGAGCTGTCAGTTGGCTACACAATTCTCCTGTGAGCATATAAAACCTCTGAGAAATATCCCTGTCTTTTTTCCAGATCAGCAGAAAGGAAAGACCTTTGGCAAGCTCAAAGGAGATGCTGATTCCTGTTTTGGAGTCAGTATCTCCAGCGATGAACAAGAGTGACCAATCTCCTGTGTGGCGTGAGATACACAACGATGAGCAGCAGCCTCATGGGACATGGGACTATTGAAATCCCTTTTCAGACCTTATCCTACAGCCAGGAGCCCTTCCCTCTACAGTAGCAATGGCCAGAAGAGATTATATGGAAGCAGCTGATGAACCCCTATCATAGAAACAGGGAAACATTAAGGTTGGAAAAGACCTCTTTGAGTCATCGAAGTCATTATTGATTCAAAGTCATAGAGTCCAATCATTAACTCAGCACCACCATGATCACCACTAAACCATCTGTCACATCTCCAGTCCTATCAGCCCTGCTAGAGTGTGCCCAGATATAACTGTGCTTTTGGGATGTGATTCATCTGCTCCAGGTAACAAACAAAGCAATGGCAAAAGTCCCCAACCCAGCCCATATCCTGGAAAATTCTGTCCCAGGCACTGTGCGATGGAATTGGTGATAAACTGCAGTATTTTGCACATGGGAGTGGTGGGAAATGGACTCCCCCTGTTCTGGTAGGGACTAATTCCCATTTTGACTGGGCAGCAGGCAACATCCAAAAGCAGCACAGAGCCAGCTCTCCCAGGGAGGAGAGCAGGGCATGGAGAGGGAGCCCAGCGAGAGGCGTTTGAGAAGCTGATTGATCTGCCCAGCCTTCCCGTGGCACCCCGGGGCTGGCCAGCTCCAACACCTGCTCCCACCCCTGCAGGCTCAGTGAGCAGCAGGGATGGGAAGGTGGTAGTGATGCCTCCAGAGCTGCAGACGAGGCACGATGCTGTGCAGTGCCTGTCTGCTTCCACGTGGGGAAAGCTCCCAGCTGTGCCCAGCACCTGGGCCAGGGCTGCACTTGTTTATGTACGACAGAGGGCTTGACAAACACCGGTGGGACATCCCTCGTCTGCAGCGCCCCTCGTGCACAGGGAACAGGGCCTCAGCATTTGGGAGGGAAGGCTCAGAGACGCTGCTGGATCTAAACCTCCTGAAACCTCCTGTCGCTCAGGAAAACGAGGAGCTGACTTCCCCACCGGGCACGTTTCGGATTTGAAAGGCAAAAGGGCTCTGAAGGTTCTAAGAGGGTGGATGTGGATGCCGGGAGCATCTTTGCCAGGCAGAGCAGTCCTCTGCCTCCCGCCTCCCACCAGCGCTGGGGCTCGGCAGTGCCATCCGTGCCCTGCCCGTGTCCTCTCCGTGCCCCTCTGCCCCCCGGACCTGGGCACCACGAGTGGTCTCCCCAGCCCTCTCCTCCTGTCCCTCCAGCCCACGGAGCATGTTTCCCCTCGCACCGGCCCCGCTGCTGCCCAGGGCCCCCTCCCAGCGGGGCACCAGCCCCCGGTCCCCGCTCCCCCCGGCGCCTGCCCCGGCTCACCCCTCCGGCTCCGGCCGCCGCTCCGGCCCCGCCGCGCTCGTCCCGGAGTCCGCGCGCACCTGGAGCCGGGAGCCCGCTCCTGGGACAAAGGCTGCCCCGCCGGCGTGGCCCTCCCCTTGGCCTCGGACCAGCAACCTGCCCAGGAGAGCGCTTGTCCGGGAGGCAGCGGGGCTGGGGCTGGAGAGCCGGGGTGGAAATCGCATCCGGGGTTAACCACTTCGCTGCCGGAGGAGCGGGACAGCCCGGAGCGCTCAGCCCGGGCGGGGCTGCGCTGCCCGCGGGGGATCAGATCCCCAGGGAGCCCCTGGCCCCGTGACGGGGCAGAGTCTGAGCTCCGGGAGCCCCACAGACATCCCTGCCCAGCCCTGCCGAACACATTGCGAGGGGCAGAGCCTGTCCTGTCACCCTGCTGTCACCCTGCTGTCACCTGGCTCTGCCGGACTTCCACTGCCCCGCTGCAGGCAGAGCCAGGCTGGCAGCGGAGCCCGGGACAAAAATAGTAGGGACCTGTCAAGTGAAGAGCTGTCCCCAGAGCCATCCACGTGGGATCCATCCCCACAGGCAGGGGCTGAACCGTCCCCATGGCCTTGGGGCAGTGCAGGCAGAGGACAGGCAGGGTACAGGCATAGGTGCAGGCAGAGGTACAGGAGCATGGTGCAAGCAGGGAGCAGGCAAGGAACAGGAAGCGGTCCAGGCAGGGTGCATGCAGAGGTACAGGCAAGGTGTAGGCAGAGGTCTAGGCAGGGTGCAGGCAGAGATCCAGGCAGGGGGCAAGCAGAGATCCAGGCAGGGGGCAGGCAGAGATCCAGGCAGGGGGCAGGCAGAGGTGCAGGCAGGGTGTAGGCAGAGGTCCAGGCAGGATGCAGACAGAAGTACAGGCAGGGTGCAGGCAGGTCGGGTGGCCGGTGCAGGCAGAAGTACAGGCAGGGTGCAGGCAGCCGCAGCCCCGAACTCGCCGCTCTCTCCGCCCGCGGCAGCGCCCAGAGCCCGCCCCGGCCGGGGCCGGACCCGGACATCCGAGAGCGGCTCAGCTCCACTTTCGCTTCCCCGCAGGGCCCGGGGGCCGGCGGGCAACGGGCTGTGACCCCATCGCCCCCCACGCCCGCGGGCCGAGGGGGCTCCCGGAACAGGTACGGGGGCGGCCGGGACCGCGGCAGGGGGGAACTGCGCCCCTGCCCTTGCCCTGCCCTGCCCGGCGGGTCGGGGCCAGACAAGTTCACGGTCTCCCCACCCGTCCGCCTCGTGTCCCAGGGGGTCACTCAGGTCACTCAGGGGGTGGGGGATCCCGAGCTGCTGGCAGAAGGGGACCCCAGGAAGGGCTCGAGGTTCGGGGCAGGGGCAAGCGGGTTTAGACTGCCCTGGCAAAGTCCCTCCCTCTCCGCAGACCCTCCCAAAGACCATCCCTCCCGCAGACCCTCCCAAAGACCAAGGACCATAGACCATCCATTCCCACAGACCCTCCCAAAGATCCTCCCTCCCGCAGACCCTCCCAGAGACGATCCCGGCCCACAGACCCTCCTCCCAAAGACCATTCCACCCTGCAAACCCTCCGCCTAAAGACCCTCCCTCCCCGCAGACCCTCCCAAAGACCACCCCTCCCCACAAACCCTACTCCTAAAGACCCTCCCTCCCCGCAGACCCTCCTCCCAAAAGCCATCCCTGCCCACAGTCCCTCCCTGTAGACCCTCCTCCTAAAGACTCCGCCTCCTCGCAAACCGTCCCCCCAAAGGCCATCCCCCCAAATGATCTTTCCCAGATCCAGCTCTCCCCAACGACCCCCCGAAATCCACCGCTTCCCACAGACCCTCCCAAAGACCATCCCTCCCCAATGAGCCTCCTAAAGATCATCCCTCCCCGGAGACCCTCCCAAAGGCCGTCCCTCCCCCCAGATCCTCCCGAAGACCCTCCCAAAGACCCTCCTTCCCCACAGACCATCGATGCCGCCGCGCCTGCTCAGGGCGGTGGGCTGGAGCTCGGCGGCCCTGCTGGGAGTGCTGGGGGTGGCCGTCTTCCTCCTGGTCCTGACCCCGGCAAAGGATGCTGCCCTTCCTATGAGGAACAAAGTAGGTGCCCAGTGGGACCTGGGGGAGGCTGGGAGTGACTACCAGCCCCTTTCCACCTCTCGTTCTTCCATCATCTCTGCCTTCCTCTCCACTTGCAAGTGTAACTAGCTGTAACTAGCCCAGCTTTTCAGGGCTTAACCTCATCAAGGTGGGCACTGGGCTGATCAATCACCCCCAAACTGTGGTGCTGGCTCCTTGCTAAGGATGGGAAAGAGAAGCACAGCCCTCTCCCCGTGACTGCGCTCTTTTCCCTGCTTTCAGACGTTCAGTTCACCTGTTGGGTTTACACCTCTGTCCCCTGCTACTTTCTGCTGCCAGTCTGCTAAAAAATGTCAGGTTTTGTGAGATTTGCCAAAGGTCTGGGAGCAGCCTGAGCCCTTTGGGACATGCCCGGATGCCTCCCTGCCCTGTGAATCCCCCAGCTGACCTGCGTGTCCTTCCTTCCTGAGCCGTAACTCGCTGGAATGGCGAAACCGGGGGTGTTAGAGGTGGAGCAGGGCTGCTATAGGGAGGTTGGACGTGCAAACCTCTGCTGCTCACATTCAGCCTCCAGAAACCCCCGTGACACTTGGTGCAGCCCTGGGAGAGATGTGACCCCATGTCCCCTCTTGTCCCCCCCAGTACGGGCTGGTGTTTGACGCCGGCTCCACACACACGTCCCTCTACACCTACCGGTGGCCTGCGGACAAGGAGAACGGCACCGGCATCGTGTCCCAGGTGGATGTTTGCACCGTGTCCGGTGAGTGTGATGGGATGTGCCTGTCCCTGTCTCAGCCTCCTGGATCGCTGGCACAGACTCTCACAGCATCCTTGCTGATCCAAGTCTTTCAGCTGCTCTGGGCTGAAGGGAGATGACCTGGTCAAGAACCACAGGAAAGTGTTGGGGGCTGGTCTGCACCTGAGGGAGGCCTACAGTAATTGGGGGATGCAGAGGTGGGTGAGGAATTTGGCCCCCAGTTAGGACAGGTCCTGCAGCCAGTCCTGCCCAGTTGTGCATCACTTCACAGCTTGGGATGCTGGATGTGCAGTTTGCTCCTTTTCCCAAGCCTCTGCTTCCTTCGTTCTTCTTCCCACGACATCTGTTCACACCTTCTTTCATAATGTACACCTCCATGTGCCAACAAGGCCTCCCAAAAGCCCTGCATAAGTCCCTGAGCAATCCAGTGGCTTGGCTTGTTTATCGTACGTGGTTCCTGACTCCTCCTTGGGTCAGCAGTTTGTATTTTGGTATCTGTACAGCACCAACCACAGGATTTTGGGTGTGACTGGGACATCTGGGTATTGCTGAGGAAGTCCAGTAGAGCTCCCTGGGCCTGGGGAATGGGTGTGCTGTCCCCCCGGGGTGCGCTGGGCTCTCTCCATCACTGGTGCCCTCTGGCAGGACCCGGCATCTCCAGCTACGCAGACGACCCCGCGGGGGCTGGCGCCAGCCTGAGGCCCTGCCTGGAGCAGGCCTTGAAGATCGTGCCGGCGGAGCAGCAGCGGGAGACCCCCACCTACCTGGGGGCCACGGCCGGCATGCGGCTGCTGAGGTACCGCCGGGCCGGGGCCGCCCCCGCCCCTTCCCCCGCACTCCTGCATCTGCATCGCAGCCGCAGCCGGGGCAGGGCAGGGCTGCGGGCAGGGGGTGCAGCCCGGGCGGGCCGTGCGGGTGGGCAGAGCATCCCTGTCTGCGGTGCCACGGGGTGTCCGGGACAGGCACTGGCCGTGCCCAGGGGATACCCCCGGCCCACTGCAGCCCCAGAGGGGGATGAAGCCCCTGTGCCAGACGGGCACTGACCTTGCCAGTGCTGCGGCAGAGCCCGCAGGCAGCGTCGGTAGGGAGATTCCCCATGGCCCAGGTGAGGGATTTGGGGCTCACAGGAGCCAGCAGAGACAGGGCAGTGCTGGGGGATGTGCCTGCCTGTGGGCAGCCCCGCTCCCTGGCAGGGCACAGCAGCCTCTCTCTGCCAGCCCAGCTCCCACAGCTCCCAGCTGAGGCCTCCTGCCCCAGCCGTGTTCATCCCTTCCCTGTCAGGGAGCAGAACGACACCAAGGCCGAGCAGGTCTTTGCTGAGGTGGCCAAGGTGATTGGGGAGTACCCTGTGGACTTCCGTGGAGCTCGGATCCTGACGGGCACAGAGGAGGGCTCCTTCGGCTGGATCACCGTCAACTACCTGCTGGAGACACTGGTCAAGGTGTGAGCTGGGGGAGAGGGAGGGGAGGGCTGAGCGCTGAAAATATCCCTGTATGAGCGACAGCCAGGGTTCTTTGTTCAAGAGGAGAGCAGGATGTAGTTTTAGGGCACTGGTCCCCCCATAAATCTCACCTGTGGTCGTGGGCTGCAGATCCAAGCCCAGTGACGTGATGAACAGAATCTTTGTGTCCAGCTCAGCCCAACCCTGTGCTCTCTGCTGACACAGGGGTGGATTTTGGTACGACAGGGGTGCAGCGGTACCAGGTTCCAGATGAAAGTGTTCCTTTTTCCCTCCTCAAAGTCTCTGGTTCCCAGAAACAAGGGGCCAGACCTCAGAGCTGCCTGGAAGTTTCTGTGGGTTGAGGAGGATGTGGGCAGGGGGGGTAAAACAGGGAGACAGGACATGGAAGGTCCCTGTGGGGCTTCTGAGCGCCAAAAGCCATGAGGGTTTTCACAGGGACTGGGAGTCCCTCCCGTTCAGACTAACACCTGCTGTCTGTTGGGCCAGTTTTCCTTTGCAGAGAAATGGGAACATCCCGAGGACAGTGAGGTTCTGGGAGCTCTGGACCTTGGAGGTGCCTCGACACAAATAACCTTCCAGCCCGGAGTGCCCGTGGAGGACAGGAACACCTCGGTCTTCTTCCGCCTGTACGGCACCAACTACTCTCTCTACAGCCACAGCTACCTGTGCTACGGGCAGACACAGGCCCTGAAGATGCTGCTGGCAGCTCTGCACCAGGTACCACAGCCTGGGGCCTCAGGATCTGCTCAGCCATCCCCCACTGCCATGAAAGGTGTCTCCCAGAAATGTTGGGCAGGCCTGTGCATAAAGTGTTAGGGAGCTGGGAGAGCTTGAGATTTTATCTATGGAAGCAAACAATTCCCTCCTTTGGGTGGAAGATGGGGGTGGTTCCCTGCCAGGGCTCCCTTCTCCCCAGATCTTGATGTGTAATAGCATTTTTTGTCATTTCCCAAGCCCAGCTGTATCCGTAGGTTTTTCCTGTCAATAATCTCTCCCCTTTGCTCAATGTGTGCCCGAGAGAGGATTCCCAACACAGTCCCCACACTGCTCCAGCAGTGTGCAGTGTCCTCCTGCCTGGCCTGGGCCAGAGCACTCAGTGCCCTGGGATGCAGGGATGCTCAGGAAGCAGAGTCGGGATCCATCCTTGGTCCTCCCTGGGCCAGGGCCTGCAGGGTGCGGTGGGGACGGAGCGAGTGCCCAGAGCACCCAGCTCTCCGTGCAGGCAGAGCACCAGCACTGCCCTGGGAGCAGGTGCCACTGCTGGGGGTGGCAGTGCCATGGTCCCCCCGGCACGGCTCTGATGTGGGGGGACAGGGAGAGCCGTGGGCAGGTGAGTCGTGCACAGGAGGGATCCTGCTTCTCCTCAGATCCTCCAGGGGTCTGTTGCTGCTTTTTGGGCTGGGCCGTGGGTGGGGTCTCCCTGGCATCCCACGCCAAGCCCCAGTGATGGCTCCCTCTCTCTCCAGGACAGCGTGACTGCCCAGATCTCACACCCCTGCTACCCCAGGGGGTACCAGGAGAATGTCACGGTGGCAGAGCTCTACGACAGCCCGTGTGTGCGTGCCCCCAGCACAGCCAGCCCTGCCCAGGTGCTGACGGTGACGGGCACAGGGGACCCAGCCATGTGCAGCACGGCCGTGCAGAAACTCTTCAACTTCAGCTGCGGGGCCCAGAGGCCGTGCGGGTTCAACGGGGTGTACCAGCCCCCCGTGCGGGGACAGTTCTTCGTAAGGAGCCTCCGTCCCTGTGTTTGGGGGGGGAGTTGGGTTTTGGGCCACAACCCCAGGAAAACCTCTGTAGGAAAGTCTGGATGGTGCCAGTCCTGGGAGCTGGGATGTCCCTGACACATGGAGACAGGCAGGGTGCTCACCCGTGTGCCAGGGAGCTCCAGACCTCTGCGGTCCCAGCTGTAATCCCTGTTGTTGTGGGGAACATTCCCAGCTCCCTCCCAGCCTCTCAGCTGCCTTATAGGGACCCCTCTGGAGGGGGCCTGGGGGTGTCAGTGGCTCAGGTGCTTCACCAGCCTGTCACCTTTGGTCTCAAACACCTACAGGCCTTTTCGGGGTTTTATCGTGCCTTTCTCTTGCTGAACCTGACGGGAGGGCAGTCCCTGGCCTCGGTCAATGCCACCATCAGGCAGTTCTGCACCAGGACCTGGGACAAGGTGAGATCATGCCCAGGAGGTGCCACCCCCTGCCCACATTTCTTCTGGGTGCTGGGCAGCCTGAAAGCTCATGCACAGTCCATCCTCTGCTGGGGACAGCTGGAGAGGGCTGGGAGGAGCACAAAGGTCTCTGGACCTGGAGAGAGATAGGAGAGCAGCCTGTAGCCTCCCAGATCCTCCTTGCTCTCCCGGTCTTTGCTCCCAGCTGCTCTGAGGGGCCGTTCCCCAGCGTGGGCACACCGAGCACTGCTCCCTGCTGGCAGCCCACCCCTGTTCTCCCACCTCTGCAGGTGCAGCAGTTGTTCCCCACAACAGGCAGGACCCACCTCCGTGACGCCTGCGCAGTCAACTCCTACATCCTCACCCTTCTCCTGCAGGGCTACAAATTCAACCGGAAAACATGGCTTAACATCCACTTCATCCGGCAGGTAGGAGAGTGCCTGGCAGCCCCCAGCTTCCACACTTTGGCCATGAAATGGCTCGTGCCCACCCTGCTGCTGCCCCTGGCCTGACTGGGGACAAGGGATGCCGGGTCAGCACGGCCCCACTGCCCATACCCAGAGCTACATCAGGCACCTGCTGGTACATCTGGCCTGGCCCCTTATGCTCTCCCCCAGTTTATCTCACTAACGGGGCACAGGTGGGCACAGATACAGTGGCTGTGGAGCAGGACCTGGGGGTACAGCAGCAGAGGTCTTCTCTAGATCTCCAGCTTGCCTGGTACTTTGCAGCCTTTCACATTCCTCTTCCTCCTCTGTCTGCACAGGTTGCTGACGTAGACGTGGGCTGGACTCTGGGCTACATGCTCAATCTCACCAACATGATTCCCTCAGAGCCTCCTCCAGGAGTCATAGTGCTCCAGAGAAAGAGCTGGATAGCAGTCACAGTTTTACTGGCCATCATGCTCATCCTCACCTTCTGCCTGCTCACAGTCATGTGCCTCCACAGGAATTCCTCTGGCTATGAGCGTCTCTAGCAGTGCTGGCTCCGGAGGCTGCTGAGGCCACCAAGTTCTACTGCCACACCTGTGCAAGGAGCTGCTGCCCAGGGAATCACCCCTGTGTGCCCTGGGGCCATGGATATGTTGAGGGGGGCCCTGAGCCCTGGCCTGGAACTGGCACATGCTGTAAGACATCCTCCCCGTAACTGTGTGCTCTCTGGTTTTCCTTTCCCCACCCTGCTGGTTGGAGATGCTGCAGGAGGGAGGGTATGGCTATGCGGGGCAGGGTCTCAGCACTGGGGCATGGGGACCACAGTGATGTGGGGTGGCTCGAGATTGGGGGTCAGGGAGGAGAGAAGGAGAGTCTGGCAGCAGTGGGGGTTACTCATCACAGTCTCCTGCTGGTTACAGCCCGCAGGAGACCCCCAGTGTGGGGCAGACGTGTCCTGCCCCATCCCAGGGCGAGGGTCTGCCTGTGGGTGCCAGCCCGAGGGGCCGTGGCTCTGGGGCAGTGGGGGGGACACCGGCCTGGACTCTGCCCAGGACTGGGAAGCCCCGTGAGGTGGGGGATGGCACAGCCCTCTGCTCTCCTGTGCCAGGTTCCTCCCTGGTCCAGCTGCACCCTGTGCCCTGTGCCTGGCACACAGCCACGCTCATCCTCCCTTTCCAGCACAGGGTGATTTGGGAAGGCTGCTGGGACATGTCAGGGACAGCTACCAGGGCCCCCCTTACATTTCTGGGGAGTCCCACTGACAGCCAGTGATGGGTGAGGTGAGACACCCTCCTCTCAGAAGGAAAAGGCCTGTCCTTGTGCCCTGCTGGTCCTCTCCGAGGTCCGGCAGACACCTCAGTGTCTCCAGGGATGTCTCCCACAGACTAGAGCAGTGTTCCCTCTCCCCTGAGTTCCCGGCATCATCACCTACCTGGAAGATGGAAGCAATAAAATCATAACAGTTTGGGAGCAAAGGAACAGACATTTCCCCATGTGCTGCCTTTTATGATCTTTATGTGGGCCACAAGAGCTGTGAGGTGTCCGACACTCCACAGGGACACCAAAGGTCAGCGCCTCGCTGAGGGAACACAAACATCAACATGAGTCATCCACAGGGCAGATAAAAACAAGCAGAACCAAAGGCAAAGGCAGGGGCACAGAGTGCTGGTTTAAAGGTAAACTGGCAGGGGAAATGAACCCAACTCAAAAGAGATTATAAGTCAGAATAACAATTTAATAAAAATAATACAATAAATACAATTATACAGACGAACAATTGGTTTGACCCACAAAACCCAACTGTATAACCCAGCACCCTGGGGCATGAACAGAGTGGTGTTCGTTGGGCCCCCCTGAGTCCAAAGTAAAAGGAGAGGGAAAAACCTGTTAATGAGAGTGCTGCTCGCAGTCTGGTCGAGAGTGGTGATCTCAGTCTGGTTGAAAGTGGTGCTCACAGTCTGGTTGAGGTTCTGGTCCTCCTTTGGATCCAAGGAATGGTACCAGAATTCCCAAGACCCCAAGATTATATACCCTCAGGTTCAGGCAGGAATGCCCAGTACCTCCCCCAGGGCAGGGCAGGGAGTTCCACAATGGATGAGATGTTTTTGGAATCCTTGGTGGCCCATGAGCAGACATGACCCCTCAGGCTGCGTGTGGTGGTGCTAATCACTCCCTGGAGGGGAATTAACATCACCCATAACTACAGCCTGAGGGGTCAGGTGTGCTCTGGGTAAATGGTCTATTGTTAACAGCTCCTGGGAAATGACATGGAGGGTGTAGAATACACAGTTTGTGTAACACCCACACGGTGATAAACTGATCCCAGCTGTTCTAACAAGGACACACAGCCATGGGCAGGGCCCAGCTGAGCCATGGGCAGGTCAGGACCCACAGCCTGCTGGAGTCTCAGCCCGACACCCACAGAGCCCAGGCCTTCTGCTGGTGGGACAGTGTTGCCTCCACTAAGGCACTCAGGAACATCAACCCCTTTATCGCAGACACAAAGGAAGATGATGAGATGGTGAGATGTGATGACATGACATGACATGACGACGAGATGAGATGGACCCTCTGGAGGGGCACGGACCACACTTCTGACTTTGGATGCTCAGTTTTCCTTTTCTCTCCAAGACCATCTCCACATGAGCCCACAGACAGACGCTGAGCAGATGGGGTCCTGCAGAGCCCTGCATGCCTGCACACCTGGAGACAAGTAAGAGCCTGGCACTCCTGGCAGGGACCTGCTGGGCTGTTGGTGACCGAGGTCATACCCAGAATGGCTCGGAGCACCCTGACACCAGGTGCCTGCAGCTGAGCACCAACAGTCTGGCACTGGGGAGCTCTTCCAGAGCCGGGCTGGCTCTCATGGCCCACATTCCAGTGGGATGGAGCTGTGTCTGTAATAGGCAGCAATGTGAGAAGGCAGACAGGCATGGCTGAGGCTTCTGTAGGCTGATCCCATCAGGTGTCCACAAGAGCAGAGCTCCTCTGGAAACCTCACAAAGTGCCTGTCTGCACGTTGGGGGCCAGTCCCATGGGAGGCCAGACCCCAGTTCTTTGGTGCCAGTCCTGTAGGCAGGAGCACAGGGGCCCCAGCACAATTTATACCTCCTGGGCTCTGAAGCACAGCCAGGCTCCTACACCCACAGGAGCAGGAGCAGGGCAGTGAGCCCCAAGACAAGGGTGAGGATGATGAAGGTGATGGCTGCAGCCCACAGAGAAGGCATGTGCCCCTTCACCCTGGTGGGAGCCTCTGCCGGGATCATGTTGGTGAGGTTCAGCATGTACCCCAGTGTCCAGCCAATGTCAGCACTCCCTGCCTGCCCAGGGAGAGAGGGAACAGAGTGTTAGCCCTGCAGGAAAGCCACTGATATCACAGGGCCACCTATTTCTGCTCAGCCCAAGCGGGGTGCAGCAGCTGCCCCCACACCGGTGCCACACCAGGACAGGGACAGGCAGGGTTCTCTGGACCATAGCTACCCCTGAACCCCAACACAGGGGCTGGATCTCCCCCAGTGCTACCTCTGCTCCCCCCCACAGGCTGAGAGTGCTGCCTACCTTCATCTGGAAGAAGATGTTTTTCCAGCTGGTCTCATTGAACTTGTAGGCGTCGAGGAGGAGTGTGAGGATGTAGTTGGCATTGGCACAGTACTTAGGCAGTCGCTTGGGATTCTCTTTAGGGTAGCTGGAAGACAGCTGGGGTGGGGAATTTGGGGATGAAGGGAAGTTGTCCACAGGCAATTTCTGTGCAGGGACAACGCCCTGACAAGTGCTGCATGAGCGGCAGTGGCTCCACGGTCACCAGCATCCAGAAAAAGACTTCTGGACCAGGCAGTGATTTTGGACCTCTCTACACGGGGCAACTCCTTTGGGGAGGATTTACATTCCACATGGAAACAGAGCTCCTCCTGCCCCAGATTCTCCCATCTCTCTGCCCCATGGTGGTGCCACATCTCTGGGTCTTATCCATCCCCATTTTTTGCCCAGAGATGTTGTGGCTGCCTCATCCCTGGAAGTGTTCAAGGCTTGGTTGGATGGGGCTTGTAGCAACCTGGGCTAGTGGAAGGTGTCCCTGCTCATGTCAGAGGGATGGAAAAAGATGAGATTGAAGGTCCTGCCAACCAAACCAGTCTGGGATTATACGATTCTATGGTTTGACTTCTCTCCAGAGTGGTGCCAGCAGCCGTCTCTGCTCTCACCATCCTCCCGTGCCACAGATCCACCTCCATCCCCATTCCCACCTCCAATCCCAGCTCCTGTGCTGCCCTTGCCTGCCCTGGTGCATGAACATCCTTGAGTGGATGCTGGACAGTCCCGGCTCCACACAGAGCGGGGGTGGCTCAGCTGTGTAGGGCACAGCTCAGAACTGGGGAGCCTTTCCCTGGACGGGTCCCTGCTCCTCTCCCCCCACCCCAGAACCCCTTTGCTTGTGAAATTCCCACACAGCCTCTGTCATGGGGAGCTTACATCTTCCCAGCTCCTTGTGCAGAGCTGCTCAATGGCCTCCCTGGCTGTGGCCAGCGGCTGCCCCTCCGTCAGGTTGAGGAACTTGAAGTTGTAGTAAAAGGCAGAGAAGGCCTGAAAGGAAGAGGCAGAAATGCTGGTGAGCCACAGTGGGGAACCCCCAGCAGCTGCCCCCGTCTCCCCTGGATCAGGAGGTGGGGTTGGTCCTTCGGAGGATTTGCCCCACCCGGGGTAGTCCCAGGGCAGTGCTGTCCCTGTCCAGCAGAGGATGGGCTGGGAGGTCAGTGCCTGCTGGTGACAGCAAAGCGACAGCCAGCAAAGGCAGAGCCTTGCCTGAAGGCTGCTAAACTCCTGGGTTTTTACAAAAAACTTGGGTTTTGACAAACACCTGTTTTATTAACACATCCCTGGAAGTGTTTAAGGCCAGGTTGGACGGGGCCCTGAGCAACCTTATATAATGGGTTGGGGTGTGGAACGAGATGATCCCTTCCAACCCAAACTGTTTTGAGGCTCTGTGATTATTAACACGGTCCCATTTGGAGATTTGGCTGAAAAACCAGGCAGTGGCAATCTTTGGCATGTCCAGGGACACTGCAGGGAGGTGACAGTGCCCTTGGGCACTCGGGGACACCACAGCGCTCAGGGCCATGCCCTGCCCTGGGGCGGGAGGGCGGATCTGCCTTACAATGAACTGCCCTCGGAGCGGGGGCTGGTAGACGCCGTCGAAGGTGCAGTCCCGGCTCTGGCCGCACGCCGAGAAGTTGAACAGCTCCCTGACGGCTGCCAGGCACCCGCTGGCATTGCCCCTGCCCTCCAGGGTCACCGTGCTGTCACCGAGGGGCAGGCGGGCGTCGCTCCGGTCGGTGCAGGGGCTGTCTCGGAAGGCGGACAGACGGACCGTTTCATTGTAGCCCTTTGGGTAGCAGGGGTGATAGACCCGTGTGCTGGGGGCCGACGCCTGGGGACAGCAAAACACAGGCTGCAGCCTCCTCCAGACCCTCCTGGCAGGCAGGCCGGGGCCAGGACTCACCCAGAATCCCCCCGAGGCCACGGGCACCGGCATCTCCCACCTCCTCAGCAGGAAAGATCCTCCTGCTGTTCAATCCTGGTCTTGTTTGGCTGTCTTTGTCCCAGCCTGGGCCCAGCACTAATTCTTACTCTGCTTTGTCTCATCCCCTCTTCCACTGAGGGAGACCTGTTTCAGAGTCCCAAAGTGTCTCTCCCCTGGCCAGCACGATCATTTTTGGGGCATGCAAAGCCCTCTACACCCCAGCTCTAGCTCTCTGGCTCTAGCTCCAGTCCCAGCCAGGGGCAGCACCTGGGACCTTCCTGGCTGTACAGCAGGAGCAAACCCCTCTGGATCACCAAGGCTGCTCTCCTGGCAAAGTGCAGCTCCATGAAGACACATTTCACCTCTGACCTTCGAAAAAATGGTCCAATAAAGGTCTTCAGTTCACTTTTCTCAGGTTCTTGCAGTCACAGAGTAGCTGAGTTTCAGGGGGAGCTATAGGGTCCCTGTGCCAATCCCCTCCTTAAAGCATGACCAACTAGAGCAGGTCACTCAGAGCCTTGTCCCATCAAGTTCCGAGTAGAGTATCTGAGTATCTCCAAGGATGGCAACTCCACACACTTCTGGGTTCTATTCTGATATCTGACCATTCTTATTGGGGCAAACTTTTCTCTTCCATCTGGTTTGAAACTCAGATGTTCCAGCTTGTGCCTGTTGCCTCTTGTCCTGGCACTTTGCACCTCTGAGAAGAGCCTGGTCCCACATTTTTGTGCACCCTGTGTACAGCCAGAAGATCTCTCCTGAAGTGCCCTTTTGACTTCCCTCATCCCTGGAAGTGTTCAAGACCAGGTTGGATGGGACTTGGAATAACCTGGGCTAGTGGAAGGTGTCCCTGCCCATGGCAGGGAGGTTGGAACAAAATGGTCTTTAAGGTCCATTCCAGGGATGTGATTCTACGATTCCTGTGCTCCTCTCCACATTTGCCCTGCCATGCTCCAAGGAGCCTGTACTCACTCTCAGTCCTTGCTGATACCTCTCTGAAAGAGCCTTGCCAGCTCTTATTTTATGCATTAACAATCTGTGGTTGGCATCATGAGACCAGAGGCCAATTACCCCTCAGTTCCCTCTCACCGCAATTAATTCCTTCGCCAGCCGCTTCAGCATCTCGTTCTGCCCGTAGCAGAGGTAGCTGTGGGTGTAGATGTTGTAGTTGTACCCATACAGGGTGAACTTGGAGGCTTCATTCTGGTTTAGCACTGAACCTTCGGGCATAAAGCTGATTTGAGTGGATGCTCCTCCAAGATCCAGTGCCCCAAAAATGTTGGCCGCCTCTGGACGGAGCCACATGTGTGCTTTGGGAGAGAACTGCCAAGGAGAGACAGGAAAGGAAGAGGAGCAGTACATGGCTGGGCTTACTTGCTCTCAGCAGAATTCTCATCCCATTGAACTCAACAGGATTCTGTTGCTAAATTCAATGGATATTCGGTTATTACTGTACGTGAGGCCCCACCAGCTCCCTGCCCAGCCAGCCCGGTCCTTTACCAGAGAGATGGAACTGTCTGATGGTCAGGGTGTGCCAGCATTCTGTGGGCTCACCTGGCTCTGACTCACCAGTCCCCAGACCAAAGTGCTGGTGGGCACCTGGGGCCCTGCCCTTCCCAAGGCCCAGGCTGCAGAGGGCTGGTGCAAGGGGAAGGATGTTCTGTCTCCCACAGCTCACACAGGAGCCCAATGGTGCCAGCACCTCACTGAGCTGTGGCAGGGCTGGGATAGAGGGTGGCAGGACAGAGTTTTGGTCCAAGCTGCCTTCAGACTGGCACATTGAACCAAAGCTGGTGTCTTCCAGTGCCACAGGGAGATGGAGCTTCCCAGGGTGGCGAGACAAAGCCCAGCAGGAGCAAATGGTCCCCACTGGGCTGTGCAGCCACCCTCGCTGTCCCCGAGAGACCCTCTGTCCACACAGTGTGGAGATTGCCCTGAGCTCTTAACAGACACCCCCATTCCTGAGTTCTCCCCCATTCACTGTGGACAACCAGAGGATAAGTGCCTCCTTCCCCTGGGACCACCCCAAAAGCCTCTAACCCTGACATCTCCTGCGCTAAGCAAGCTTCAGGAAAATCAGAAAAGCTTTATTAGCAGAGGAGTGGGTGCTCGACCCTGCTCCCACCTTAGTGAAGGAGTCCAGCAGGTAGTTGATGGTGATCCAGCCATAAGCCCCCTCCTCCTCTCCCGTGAGGATTCGGGCCCCTTTGAAATCCACAGGGTACTCTTGCATGGTTTTGGTGACTTCAGCCAGGACTTGATCTGCTGCTGAACTGTTCTGTTCCCTAGGAAGGACTTAAAGGTCAGGACACATACCCAGCTAAAACCAATACTACAGAGGAAATCTCAAAGTTCCACATACTCTCAGCCCTTGCAACAAGCAGTCTTTATGAAAGGAAATTTCCTGCTGTGTGAAGCTGCTCATAGGGTGTAAATCCCAACTGTCTAGGCTTGGCATCACACATCTAGGAGCAAGAGCAACCTCATCCCTCCAGTGCAACTTGATCCCAGTGACACAGAGGTTTCCCAGGACACCCTTCCCTGCCTAAGTATCATCACAGTGCTGGGGGACAGAGAGGGTTGTGCTGCAAGACCCAGATTTGAATGTCACCCACTGACTGCACCCAAGGCAGGGCTGGTTGCTGAGCTCCAGGGGGTGTTTCAGGAAGGTTTCAGCCTGGTTTCAGACCTCTGAGTGGGGAAGATATCTCAGGGCTCGCTCTCTGAAGCGAGTAACCCTCAGGCTATGGCCCAGCTCCTTCCCAGGGACAGGGTCTGACTGCCAGGGCACAGGAATAATGTGGGATATCTGCAGCCGTAAAACCAAGAGCCATGAAATGAAGGTTGATATTTGAAGAGAGCTAATACGGGCTGGTGAAAGGTAACAGCAGGTCCTGCAGCACCTCATTGCCTCTGACCCCTGTTCCCCCACCAGCACCCATCCACCTGGGCAGGTGGCACTTCCCCTGGTGGCATCTCAACCCCCTTGTGCTCAAGGAATCATGAAGAGCAAACAGAGCTCTGAGAAGCATTTCTTGCTTGGAACTGGGCATGCAGCACCATCCCAGGATGTGGGCCCCTCTGAGCAGTCTCTCTGCCCCAGAGGCAATGGCTCAGGACAGCTCAGTCACACCCCTGTCCCCACAGGGCTGCCTTCTCCCCTTCTCCCCATTCACCCATCCCTTGCTCATGGCAGAGTGGGATCTGGGATCCTGCCCCCACGCAGGACACTGTGTCCTGGCAGTGGCTGTTTGCAGCTCTGTCACTGCTGTCACCCCCGTGCCCCACAGCAGTACCTCAATAGCCTCATGCCAGCTGTTGCTCCAAGATAAGCTGGGACATCCCTCTGTTTTGCAGCAGGAACAACCTTCAGGGCTTTATCCAGGCATTCCCTTAGGGAATCACCGGCTTTAGAGGGATCGGAGGCATAGCTTGATATGCCGGGCCCTGGAAGAGAGTCAGGCTGGGACAGGCTGGTCGGAACAGCTCGGGAAGGGGATGAGGGAGGGCTCAGGGCAGTGAGGTCTGTCGCCTCTTAGCAACAGAGGTGCTTTTCCAGGGTCCCCTGGAGACCTGATTGACCCACGTTTATTTCCTCTCCTATGTATTCCCGACATCTCCCACGCTTTCAGTGTCCCCAGCTCTATGGGTGACAACTTTCTCAGCCAGGACAGCAGCTGGGGGCATTCCAAGGTAGAGGAATGAAAATTCATTCACCACCCAGGTGTTTCAGTCCCACCCAGTGTGTGGGCACCAGGCCCAGGGGTCAGGGACACCCTGCCTGCAGCCAGGGCTCCCCCCCGTGCCTGCAGTGCCAGCCCGATGGACAGAGCTGCCTAAGAGGGAGAGCCAGGTCATCCCACCCACCACTCGAACACACAGGGCAGCACAGAGCCCAGGGCAGGGGGATACTGACCCTGGACATCACAGGACAAGGTCTGGCTGACCACACCAGTGTCGTTCTCCTTGTCTGAATCCCACTCGTAGACAAACAGAGAGGTGTGGGACGAGCCCGCATCAAACACCATCCCATACTGCAGGGGAAAATCAAGACATCATGGTAGTGGAGGAGCAGCAGCAGCCTGCCCCTGACCCCACTATGGCCCTGCCAGGGTGGTGGGGCCAGAATATGCCCCAAAACCCATCTCTCTGAGGCACAGCCGTGGCAGAGCAGAGTGGTGACCTCAGCACAGGCATTTCTCACGGCAGCTGAGGGACTTTGTCATTCCCTCTCCTGAGGTCTGTGCAGCAATGCCAGCTCACACAAACATTTCCTTCATTGTTTCCTCATGCTTTTTCATTTTCCTTCATGGTCACATACCTTTTGTGTCTACACTGGCCCCACCTTGGGGCCAGCAATTCACCAACTCCAGTGCTCTCTGCAACCCCACGGCTGCACCCAGCCTGGGCAGGGACTGGCAGGGCCATACCAGCCCAGTCCAGGAGCCCCCTGCCTGTCCCCCATAAAGCCCTCCACCTCACCCTAAAACCCTGCCATCCCTCTTCCAGCAGCTGGGGTGGGATGCCAAGCTGCAGGGGATGACAGATCCTTGTGCCATGGTGTGAGCAGGTCGGGACAGGCTGGTGGGAGCTGGCAGGAACAAAGGGCCTGTGGAGCTCTATCACCCTGCCCTGGGAGAGCAGAGGGAGCAGGTCAGGGCTCTGCCCTACCTATCTGCCCAAAGGTAATCTCCAAACACAGCCTCTGGTGGCTCATTCCAGAGGAGGCTTCTCCCTTTGACTTTGAGGTGGCCAGGCTGTGTTTCTTCTGCACTCTGAGGTGGGAACAAAACACCCCCCCCGCTACTCTAAGGCAGTTCCTGGTGGCCCCCCTTCCCCTGGAGATGAGCTGTTGCCTCTGAGCACCTGCCCAAGGTGACAGGTCTCTCCAGTGGTGCTCAGGGACCTTCTTTTGGGCTCACCTTGACCGTGGGTGGCAGTGTCACATCTTCAACCTTCACCAGGCTGAGAACAAGGGCGATGACGGAGAGTGCCACCAGTGCCCCAATGATGGCACTGGTGAAGGGCTTCTTGTCAGCCACCATTTGGGTGAAGGCTCCTGTGAACCCAAACACAGGAGAAAGGTGATTGGACATCTGGGAACATGCTGTCAGTGAGATCCTCCCCAAAACGTGACACTGTCTCGAGCTGTGCCACTCAGAAATCCTGGTGGATAGTTGGATCTTTTCCTGGGAAAAGCAATATTAGGGTAAAATAGGAGGAGCAAAGGAGAGAGGGATTGGTTGCCCAGTAGCCTGGGATGGCTGTGATGGGATCATGACAATCTTCCACATCCAGCACCCACTCCTGCTCAGCTCCCTCCTACTGGGAAGGATCAGGTCTGGGAGGAACAAGAGAAACACTGCAAGGAACAGAGGAGAGCATGGGGAAATGGAAAAAACCCTCAGTGGGAGGGTAGGGGAGAGTGGTTGGTTGCATTTGACAAGCTGTCAGTAAGGTCAGCTCACCTGTGGCACTCCCGGCCCCACACCCAGATGTGTGTCCCAGTGGGATCGCTCAGGGCTGGCTCAGTCCTTGTCGTGTCTCTGTTCTCCTTGGAGGGCAGCAAACCCACTTGGACTTGCCTTTTATATCCTTTGGAAGTGGATACTGCTGGAAAATCTTTCCCTCTTTATCTTCTCCCAGAGATCATCAGCCTTAGGCAAAACTCTCTAACATCTGTTCTCCCTTTGTCTTGCAGTTGTATTCATGGCCCAGCCTGGCATCTTCCTTCTCTTCAGCCTGTTAGTCCCTCCTCCTCATTTGAATGGAATCACATGAAGGACACATCTCTCCTTTTAACCCTTGTCCCTCTACCTCTCTGTGCTGTCACAACCCAACCAACCCCCCCATTTGTGTTCTCTCTTTGCTTTCACCAGCCTTAACCTTCCCATTATGAGTCTCTATGAGGTCTGTAAGAGATGGCAGTGATTTTTCCAGTATCCAATGCCCTGGAGTCTCACACAGAGTGGTAGGTGCCTTGATAATAAGTTTTATTAGAATGAGATCACATCAGAGGGGGAGGATGGCCCTATGGGAGTGGTCTCAGCAACACTGGCTGGGCTTTGCCAGGGGACACAGGAGAGGCCCAAATGACACTTTCATAGCCCAGCTGGGACTGTGGTCACCCCTTCCCTGTGTGTGACCCAGCCTTGTGCTGCTCCTGGGCTGGGGGTCCCTACAGGGGAGCTGAGGGAGTGGGGACGTCCCCAGCTCTGCCAGGAGCCTCCCATTGCTCTGGGCAGGTTGGAGGCTCAACAGGGCAGGCAGGGGGTCCCTTGGGCAGGGTGTCCCACGGGCAGGGTGTCCCACAGGCAGGGAGTCTCACAGGCAGGGAATCCCTCAGGCAGGGAATCCCTCAGGCAGGGAATCCCACCCCAGCCCAGATCCCAGCACCCTGCCCTGGGAGCGGAAGGGCTGGGGAGCAAAGGTCTGCTCTGTCTGGGCCACACAGCCAAGCTGCTTCCTGCTGACTGAGCCCCTGATAAGAGGCTGGCAGGGCTATCACAAGGGCAATCTCCTGGAAAGACCCAGTTCCAGCTGCCTGGGCTGAGCTGAGTCACACAGGGCAGTGCCAGGGGCGGAATGCTGTGCTGGGGAGCCCTCACTGTGCCTGACCCTCCCAACTGTGCCTGACCCTCCCAACTGTGCCTGACCTTCCCAGGCACCTTCCCGGTGCTTCCAGAGGGCTGGCCATGGGCCATGTGCTCTGACAGTGCCACGCTGTGCCATGGGGGTGCAGCAGTCCCGGGGTGCTCCCTGTCCCTCACCGAGCTGGGGGCTGTGCCAGACCCTGCTGTTGGCCAGTCCCAGACCTCCAGGCCAGTCCCTCTTGCTTTTGCCCCAAATCTGGGCTCTTTCACCCTGTGTGCAAGAAGCTGATCCACTCATAGAGTTGGTTTTATTTCATACCTACGCAAAGATGGGTGCTGGGTGGTGACTCCACAAAGCTGGCTCACCTTCAGCATGCCAGGTGCCCAGTTTTATACATTCAGATCAGTAGAAACCAGCATTTCCCTCTAGGTCATGACCTAAAGCTGCAGCCAGTGGCTTTGCATTCTCTCCTTTCCATTTAAGGATACCTTGTACACTTATTTTACTACTCATGCTCTGTGGGGAAGGGGCTTATGTGAGTAAGGGGTGATCACAGCCTGTGGACAGGGATTTTACAATGCTGATGAGCACAAAGATCATACAAAGCTGGTTTTTGACTTTGTCATTTGGTTTATAGTGTCCTCCTGCTCTGTGCTTCTCAGGTCATGGCTCTCAGTTCCTGCAGGTTTGGTTATTCCCTCGTCTTTCATAAGTTCTTTTGTTTGTCCTGTCCTGTACTTCAGTGAATTTTTAACCTTCTCATTGTACTTCATTTCAAGAAGTCCCCACTTTGAGACTTAGGGATATGTCCATAGTACATTTCCCATAAGTCTCACCCTAGTTTTGGAAAAGCATAGTTGACTCTTACCTGAAAGAACAAAATCAACATATACTCTTTCATTTTGTGATATGATGGTGCATCCATACAGTGTTTACAGGCTCATGGCACTTCCTTTCAACATCCCCATGGCAATCTCCTTTGGGGTGGCTCCTGGACTGGTGGCATGGATGTCTGGAGCCCAGAAGGTGCCACCACTCCTGCATTCCCATCTCCAAACAACACATAACCTTTGGATTCACATGGATTCAGTGGAAGGGGGTGATGAGTGTCCACTACCTTCCCTGCTCTGGAAAAGCCCCGTTGACTGCACAGGGCTGTTCTGAGCATGGGGGTCTCATCTCCACCCAGGACAGAGAGGCACCAAACAGCCCCAGTCCTTGTGTGGCACTGCCAGTGCACCCAGACCTGACTAAACCCTCCAGCTCCAAATCCAAACATGGGATGAACAACTCTTCACTTGACTTTTCCTGATCCTTCTTATAGTAAAGAAACAGACCCAGAGGTTTTGTTGGGGGGCTGTTCCCCCTCTTGCCCACGCTGGCCCCACGTGCAGCCCTGCATCTCTGCCAGATGATGCTGCCCTGGCTGGCCTCTGGCAGGGTGAGGACACTCTGGCTCTGTGATACACCCAGCCCTCAGTTTTCTTCAGATAATCGCACCCAAAGGGGTTTCTCTGCTGAAACGCCGACTCTCAGGGTGATGTGGTGTCCGAGCACTGCAGGACCTGGAAGGGCCTGGGTGCCTGGCCCCCAGGGGCACTTGTTCTCACGTGGCTCCCCTTGGGTCCTTGGGGCCCATCAGCCCCAGCTCTGTTTGCCTTCAGGGCTGTGCTCTGCTGAGAGTGAAATGTGATATTTGCTCGTCATTGAAAAAGGGACCAAATGTCTCATTCTGACTTCAGATAGACAAATCTGCTGTGGAGAAGGGTGGCTAGAGTACACACACACCCCTGTTTGATCTGCTTTTGACATGTATTTGTTTGTCTGTGGCTTTTGAAGTGACTCTGAGACCCAGAAGGGAGTTGCCAGGCTGGTGCAGGGACTCAGTGGGGCTCGAGCCCAGCCATCACTGCCAGTCACTGGGATGAGTGGTGTTTGTGAAATGAGATCACCCCCATCACTAACATCTTCCTGGTGCCTTCTGAAAGGAAACCACCCTGACTCAGGTCAAAAGGGAGTCTTTCATTTCCCCACCACTCAATTTCTGCACCATGAGGTCACCCCATTCCTGGGGGTGGGAGGTTCAGGCAGTGGCTCAGTGCACATCCCATGTCTGCAAGTGAGCTGCACCACTTGCTTCTGCCCCACATCCCCCTTCCAGACATACCCTTGGTCTTGCTGTGACTTGTCCCAGCAGGAACCAGCTGCAGCCCTACCTTCCAGTCTGATTCCAGCAAAACTGGTGGAGTTGGGGCCATTTAAAGCTCCCTTTTGGGTGCCCACACCTGCTGTTCCTGGCTGGCAAATAGCACACCAAACCTTCCCTCCTTCCAGCTGCCTTTTCCAGTGTGTATCCTGATTAAACATGGCCTGACTGTCCTGACTGTGACTGTCCTGGTGCTGTCTCCCAGCTGAGGGTGTTCTGGGTCAGGGACCTGTGCCTGGAGCCAGCCCCTGTGCCACCCATGGGCACCCCAGTCCATTCCCCTTCCCTGTGCACAGCTACAGCACAGCAGGGCCGGGGCTGGGAGTAGGTCCATCCTCCACAGTGCTCAGATGGGACTTAGCACAGCACCTGCCTCCCTGTGAGAGCCCCAAAATTAATGATATCAATGGATTTGGACACTGGCAGTGGCTGAGCCGTGCAGGGCAGGGTGCCAGGGCAGGGTGCCTGGGCAGGGCCCCAGCTCCCTGCTGGGGGGATGTGCTGCCCAGCACTGCCATGATGGGCTCCCTGTCTGCTGGGATGCACAGGGATGCTCCAGGAGGTTGGGGCTCCAGGAGGTTGGGGCTCTTACTCCCTCACCAGCTGTGTTGCCTGGGGGTGAGAGCATCAAGGTCAGGGTGTCTGGGATCTGGCTCACAAGAGCCCCAGGTGAGGGCTCTCCTCTGGCTCTGGACATCCTGAAGGGTTTTTCTTCCTGAGCACAGGGAAAGCAGGATGAAGCACCCTCAGGGCACGATTTGCCTTTCCACTAATGTCACAGTGAATGCTTGGGGACAGCATGGGAGGGAGGCTGAGGTGAGCAGCAGCTCTGGAGATGATTGATTGCCTCCAACACAATCAATGGGGCCCCAAGAAAACAAGGCAGAAGGTGAAAGGGTGATGTGATGGAGGTGTCTGTCCCTTAGTAAACACTGGAGAGTATTTACAGGAGGCCATGAAACCTCTGGATATGAGAGGTCTGCTTTGAACTTCCAAACTGGTCTGGAGAAGGGCAGCTGGGGCCGTGGTGGAGGCAGCTGCCCTGCCACAGTGCTGGGTGTGGGTAGCAGATGTCCCCTGTCACCTCACTCCCTGTATCTCATGTCACCAGGCTGTGCCCCTCTGTAGCACCTTTCCCCTCAAAGTCTCAGTAAAGCTTCTGGGAAGCTTCTCCAGGGTCCCTCCCTTCCTTCAGCCTTTTCTCCTCCTCATGCCCCTGCTGCCCTGGTTGCTCTGCTCTGGGCTTTCAGCACTCGCTCCACACTTCTCACATCTTTCCAAGAGCTGTGACTGAACATGGACCTGCACTTTCATCTGCAGCCTTGCCATCATGGATGAGATCCTGGGAACAGCTGTCCTGAAACTGGGGGCTGCAGCAGCTCAGGGCACCTCGGTGATGTTTGCTGTGGCACACATTGGCCATTAGCCAAGGGCACCCAAAGGCCCCTCTGGGGCTCAGCTGCTGGCCTCGCCACTCCTTCCTCTCCAGCGAGGCTGTCACATGCTGGTGAGGGATGCCAGACTGTGGGAGCCTGGTTTCTTGGCAAATCTGGGTGAAACACTCATCTCTCCATTTCCTAGGTGCTCTCCAAGAACTCTGTGACTGCTTGTCCCAACGTTCCCAACAGCCAGAAGCTGAGATGATGTTAGACACAGGGGTGGGACACAGCCCCTACACAAAAGACCAAAACAAAACAAAGCTAAATTAGGAGGATTCAGGAAGAGCTGGAAAGCTGGCTTGCAGGCAGGTCCACGGCTCTGAGGGGAGCACACATGGGGCATCCCTGGCAGGGGTGACCCACAGCTCCTCTCTCCACTGGCAGGGCAGAGTGATTCTTGGCAGGGCTGCCAGGCTCCGTTTTCCCAGCAGGACTGATCTGGCACAGGCAGCCAAGGCCCTCACCCTAGTGAAGGGAACTGGTCTGTGTGTGAGATGACCAGACCACCCTGGTATCACCTCCCAGACCACAATTTGGAGTCAGCACACGGAGCTCAGGTAATGCTGGGGCAGGAACTGACCAAGGACCTGCTCTGCTGCAAATGTTGCTTTTGCCACCTCAAGATGCCATCCAGGCTCTCCCTGGACACCGAGACAGCCCAGCTTTGGGAACCAGGTGGGGTTTGGGTTCCCACTGCTGTTTGGGAGTGCTGAATAACAAAGCAGCAAGGGGCTGAGAGCACTGGCTGGCACATGAGGTTTGCAGGGGCTTGTAAGACTTGGTTTTACTTTTGGAGCAGTTCCAGCTCTCTCCACACAACAGAACTGTGCCAGAGACACAGCCCACCTCCAGCTCCCAGGGCTCAGCCACCAAGCCACAGCCAACTGTGTCACCCAGCCTGGTATCTGCACATCCCCCAGCACCAGTTCATCTGTGCTGGACACACATCACCCCCCAGCCACGGCCTTTGCTTGTTCAACCACACCACCCTCCTCTCCTCTCGGACACCCTCGTGGGTGGGCAACTGTTCTGCTCAGAGCCCTGTCCTCACACAGAGTCACAGAATCACTGAGCTTGGGAAAGATCTCTGAGATCATCAAATCCAAGCTGTGACCAATTCCCACCTTGTCCCCCAGCCCAGAGCACTGAGTTGTTCCTTGGGCACCTCCAGGGACGGGGACTCCACTGCCTCCCTGGGCAGCCCCTGCCAATGTTTAATCACCCTTTCTGTGAAGAAATTCCTCCTGATGCCCAACCTAAATCTCCCCTGGCACAACTTGAGGTCGTTTCCTCTCATCCTGTCCCTTGTTCCCTGGGAGCAGAGCCTGACACCCCCCCCCCAGATGCACCCTTCTGTCAGGGAAGTCCTCATGGGCCTTACCCTCCAGACCCTTCACCAGCTTCATTGCCCTTCTCTGGACTCGCTCCTGCACCTCAATGTCAGGAAGAATTGAGGGGCCCAGAACTGGACACAGAACACAAGGTGTGGTGTGGCCTCTGTTCCCATGAGCTTGGGAAAGGCGGGACACTGCTCAAAGCACAACCTCAGGGTCCTTCCAGGAAGCAGCTCCAGCTCCTGACCAGAGCCACCCACCACACCGGGAGGTTAAAGCCACCACTGCACTGAGGAGGTCACAGTCCCCACGCACTTCCCATGTCTAGATGCAGGGAGGGATGGAGGTCCCTTGGACCACCCATTCCCAGGTGTGTCCTTTGGAAGCCCTCTGGATGCTCAGGTCATGCTGGACCTCTGTTCTCCTAGTGCATGGAGCCCATCTGTGCTGTCCCAGGCAGGCTCTGCTCTGGAGATGCCACAGGGACACGGCAGCACTGGCTTTTCTCCTGCCAGTGTTCCCATCCCATATTTCAGTTGTCTCTCCAAGAGCTGCTTCTGTTCCCACAGGAGCTGGGACACACAGAGCAGGGTGGTACTGCTGGTACTGCCCCTCTGCCAGGGGGTGCTGGTTTGGCTCCCAGGCTGGGCTGTGCAGAGGTTTCTTCCGCACCAGCCCAGGGGTTTGGAGGGGCTCAGGGCTGGGGTCCACAGGACCAGCCCAGGGAAGCTGTGCTGCTCCCCAGCGTGTCCACATGGCCAGAGCTCTGGGCTGGGAGCTGAGGCACTGACACGTGCTCTTGGGTTTGGGAAAGGCTCACTGGCAGCAATACCCAACGCACCCACCTCAGCACAAGAATAAATCTAGAGGGGAGATTTTCACCTTTGCTAGAGCATGTTCCAGCATGGAAGACTGTTGGTCTGAGACTTGAGGAGCCTCTGGCCTCATGCCAGGGAATGCCAAGGACCCCATGGCACGCACCAGGCAGGGCACGGGTGTCAGGGTCTGTCCCCTCCAGCCGTGCCAGCAGGTGGAGGATCCAGCAGGATTTCTCCAAGGTGGATGCTCCCAGAAGGAGTTCTGTGTGGTCACAGGCAGGTGTGTCAGAACTGCACACTGCTGGCTGCCAGGGCAACGGCCCCTGGAAGGTTTGTTTCAGGACTTGGTGGCCCTGGGCACTGTGGGTGACTCCTCTGCACCAGGCGCAAGTCCTGGCAGGGGACACGGCTGGTCCTGGCTGACAGCAATCCCCCCCTCCCCTGGCACCCGCATCAAGGCAGCACCCCAAGTGCCATTGTGTCACTCCTGTGTCCCCAGATGCCCTGGCAGGGTAATGCCTTACCTTGGAGGAGCAGAGCTGGGACAGGGCGACCGCTGGCTCTTCCCCAGGGCAGCTGCAAAATGCTGTAAGAGCTGCTTGCAGGGAAGCTGGGCAGCACAGGGGGAATGTGGCACTGTGCCCCCATGTCAGGCACCACGCCCTGCTGACAGGGCTGGTGTTAGTTTGGGGCTGATGGTCCTGCCGGGGTTGGGCAGCAGGAAACATCCCCGTGCCTGGGCAGCGTCGCAGCGAGGCTGAGGGATGTGTTCATCTGTTTGATCTTCTTTGGTTTTGATGAGCCCCTTCCTTAGTTTATTAATTAGCTGGTGGTTGGGAGCTGTGGGAGTGTCCAAAGGCACCGCTGGTCCCCAGGGCCACTCAGTGAGTGTCCCCTCCTGACTCAGAGCTTTGCTGCTCATCCTGCTCCTCTCGGTGTCCCCCACCAGCTGCAGCTCCTGTTCCTCAGCCCCGGCAGTGGACACTGTACCCCCCCAGCCCCAGCTCTGCTCCCCTCCCCCCTCCATGGCTCCCCCCCGGCCCCCCCCCCCCCCAGCCCCACAGCAGTGCCCCTGTGGCTGCTGTGACACAGCTCTTGTGATGGCAGGGGATGGGACACCCATGGCCTGCGCACTTGGGTGACTGGGCACATTGTGGGCACAACCACGTCACGGGGACACTGAGTGTGGGTGAACTCACACTGGTGTGAGGTGGAGGTGACAAGGAGCAGCTGGGCACCTCCTCCCAGGTGACATGTCCTTGGGCCAGGTGAGCAAATGGCTCCCAGTGGAGTGACCTGAGCACTTGGGGCCATTACGGCTCAGCCCTGGTGACACCGCGCCCTGGGAAACCACATTGCAAGGGGAAGGAGGAGGAGCTCCTGTGAGGCAGGTCCCTAAACCTAGGGCCCAGTGCCACCTCAGGGTGTGCAAGTATCACAGAATCACAGAGTATCCTGAGTTGCAAGGGACCCACAAGGATCATCCAGCCCAGCTCCTGGCCCTGCACAGACACCCCAACAATCCCACCCTGGCCCTCAGAGCGTTGTCCAAACTCTCCTGGAGCTCTGTCAGCCTTGGGGCTGTGCCCACTGCCCTGGGGAGCCTGGTCAGTGCCAACCACCCTCTGGGGGAAGAACCTTTTCCTGAGATCCAACCTGACCCTGCCCTGACACAGCTCCAGCCATTCCCTGGATCCTATCCCTGGTCACAGAGAGCAGAGATTGGAACTGCCCCTGCACTGCCCCTTGTGGGAATCTGCAAACCCCAATGAGTTTCCCCTCAGTCTCCTCTTCTCAAGGCTGAACAAGCCAAGTGATCTCAGATGCTCCTTGTATGGCCCCTCAAGGCCCTTCTCCGTCCTCAAGTCCCTCCTTTGGACACTCTCTAACAGCTTCACATCCTTCTCATATTACAGTGCCCAAACTGCCCCCCAGCACTTGAGGTGAGGCTGCCCCAGACCAGAGCAGAGCAGGACAATCCCCTCCCTCAACCAAGGGAGGACTGAGCAAAGGGGGGGTGGTGCTCCTGTCCTGTACCCACCCATGCCCTGGAGCCAGCCCAGGATGGGCCACCTGGAGTCACTGGAGACATGGAGCCAGGTGCTACCTGAATAGAGGCTAGTGGGAGCAGGTCACACTGAGCATCTAACACCCAGTATGGACCAGTCTGGGCTAAATATGTGTCAGTTTATGGATCCTGCTGGCCCGAGCTGCTGGTTGTCCCATCGCTGTTCCACGACAGCCGGGATGAGCCGGCAGCAGCACCAAGGGACAGCCTCTGGATGGGAACCTCCTCAGTTCCCACCCCCTTTCCAGAGAGAAGAGGAGCAGCCACTGGTCCCGTTGTCATCAGAGGATCTCTAGGGGAGATCAGCCCCACTGATACATCCCTCGTGCCCCTCGGGCCTCTGAGCTGACAGAGCAGTGACACAGCTGTTTATAGGGCAGTTCCTGTCCCTGACCCCACCTGCACGGACCCCAGGGCAGAGGGGAGAGAGGGGAGACTGAGGGGGCAGAGCTGGAGCTGGGCCAGAGAGGATTCCCCTCCAGCCCTGGCTGCCAGGAGATGTTCTGTCAGAGGGAACATCAGCAGAACACACAGGTCTGTGACACACGAGGTGGGAAGGAGCACAGGCTGCTGGGCTGAGGGTGAGGGGCTCATCAGCCATTCCGAACACCCTTGTGGTGGGAGCTGGACACCAGGGGTGCCAGGGTGTCCCTGGCACTGGGAGCTCCCTGTGACACTGGTATCTGACACCTTGATCCACACTTCCACATGGAATACTGAACTCCTCCTGCTCTCTGGGGTCTGAGCACAGTGTTTCACAGCAAAGCCAGGGTTCAGTGACATCCCCCTTCACAACTGGCATCAGCAGTGCACGCTCCTGCCCTTTGCCCTGTCCTCCCCAGCCTCCTACTTCCACACATAGGGAACTGAAGGGAAATACAAAAAACATCTGCTAAAAACCACACGTATCAGTGTTCTCTGCCTCACAGCACAGCCCCACAAAACTCTGAGAGAGCACTGAAGGGATGAGGTGCTCAGGGAAGTGAGGGGACAGATGGAAATCAATGAGCTTTGCTGCAGTGTGGCCTCAGGCAGGGCAGGGCAGAGGTCTGGGGGGTATGAAGGGATCTTCACCCACCCTCCAGGCAATTCCTGCTCTCAAAGCAGCAGTTTTAGGTACAACTGCTTTCTATGGAAAAAGTTTTAAATAAACCCCAATCCTTCAACGCACTTTTATTTTACAATAAAATAACTGGCACACCCAGCAGCGCTCGCAGGGCAGGACAACACGGGAGCTGGGGGGGCTGACACAGGAACGCGGCACAACAGCAGCTTTTGGGGGAATGTGGTGCTCTGTGGCACGGCAGCGAGCTGGGGCACCGACCAGCCTGTCACAGCCTGTCACAGCCTGTCGCAGCCTGTCACCAGCCTGTCGCAGCCTGTCACCAGCCTGTCGCCGCCCTCTGCACAGGGATAACGCCGGGGGAAGCCTGAGGCCCGGGCCCGTCCCCCCGGCCCCGCGGGGACCCTCAGTTCACACGGCAGGCCCGGATCATGAGCAGCTGGAGCAGGATGAAGACGGGCGACATGATGAGCCCGTACCAGAGCTCCCGCGTGTGCTCCACCAGCTTCTGGCACAGCAGCATCTCGAACACGAACTTGAGGCTGAGGATGGTGAGGATCCAGAAGAGCCGCAGCACCGCCAGGCGCTTCTCGCCGTCCTGGAACAGCCGCACGGACACGATGGTGGTGAAGTAGGTGCTGAGCCCGTCGGCGGCGAAGAAGGGCACGAACACGACCCACCAGGAGAGCGCGGCGGCCGCGCCGTCCACCTTGAGCACGAGCAGCACGGTAAAGGCGAGCAGGGCCAGCGCGTGCAGCAGCAGCTCGAACGTGGCGAAGCCCAACCACTGCACGAGCTCCCGCAGGGAGAACAGCATGGTCCGGGGGGCGCGGGGCAGAGCCGGGCAGCGGCACCGGCCCTGTCCGGGGGCACCGGGCCCGACCCGCCCGGGGCTCGGCCCGCCCGGCGCGGGCGGCGCGCGGCGATGGCGTCAAAGGGGGCGCGGCGGCTGATGACGTCACCGGGAGTGCGGAACGGGCGGGGAGTCCCCTCAGCCGCCGTGTGACGTCACGGGAGCGGTCGCACGGTGGTGACGTCACGGCGGCATGGGGCCGGTCCATGGTGAGTCCGAAGAGCCGGGGGATCCCCAGGGATCCCGATCCCTGCGGCCCCTCTGCCCTGGGCACGGGCTGGGAGAGCTGGGGAAGGGAAGGATCCAGGAGAGCTCAGAGCCCCTTCCAGTGCCTAAAGGAGCTCCAGGACAGCTGGAGAGGGACTGGGGACAGAACAAGGGGGAATGGCTTCCCACTGCCAGGGGGCAGGGTTAGATGGGATATTGGGAAGGAATTGTTGGCTGTGAGGGTGGTGAGGCCCTGGCACAGGTTGCCCAGAGAAGCTGTGGCTGCCCCTGGATCCCTGGAAGTGTCCAAGGCCAGGTTGGACGGGGCTCAGAGCAACCTGTCCTAGTGGAAGGTGTCCCTGCCCATGGCAGGATGTGGAATGGGAAGAATGTGAAGCTCCCTCCCAACCCAGATCAGTCTATGATTCTGTGATTTTGTTTTTTATTATTATCATGTAATTTATTGTTAGTATTCTATGGGCACATGGTGACAGCAGCCGTTTGCAGCTCAGACATCCCTCTGGGCTGGATTCCCTGCAGGATTCCCTGTCACACACAGGGCCTTGCTCCTTGGCAGTGTGGCTGAGAGCAGTGTGTGTCTGGTCACACCTTTCTCTGTCTCTGAGCTCCAGGCTCTTCCCCAGGCCCCTTCAAGTGAGGGGGATTCATAGGGCAGACAGGAAAGTTAAAACCAGCAGTGGGGAACAGCTGATCCCAGGGCTGCACTTACCCTGTGGGGATGAGGGCAGTTAAATGAGCCCAGATGTGCATTTTAGTCCCTCCATGCCCAGACAGTGGGGACAAGGAGCACAGTGTGTCCCTGCTGCTCCTGCAGGCGAGGACACAGTGTTAATCCCTCGGCTGTGCAGAGGTGGGAAGAGAGCCCACGAGCCTTGTATCCCAGTGCTGGATCCCAGCTATTCACACCCCTGGGCTGTTTGCTGTGTCAGCCCCACACATGTCACCTTGACCCCCAGTCCCTGGTGCTCCTTTGGGTGGGGTTGGTGCTGCTGGGCCGAGGGCAGGCCCAGCTCTGCCCCCCCGGCCCCCTTTGCCCTCTGGGTGGTGGCTCTGGTTTGTCTTTGCAGATGGCAGAACGGAAGCTCCTCGTTCTCTTTGGCAGCCAGACGGGGACGGCCCAGGACACGGCGGAGAGGATCGGGAGAGAGGCCACGCGCCGGCACCTGCAGTGCAGGGTGGAGGCCCTGGACAGCTGTGACCTGGTGAGATGGGACACACAGGGGGCTCTGGGCACTGCTGCTCCTGCTGCATCCCCGCCAGCCCCATTTCTGCCACTTGGGCATCCTCCACCCTTGGTGTGATCTGCTGTGTGTCACCAGGGCCTGGCTCTGTGCCCTCCCTGGGGGCAGCTTGTGCTTAACCCAGCTGAAAGGGTGGGCAAAGGGAGCAGGGACTCTTGGGATGGAGTCAGACACTCAGCCTTTCCCTGTGAGGTGAGGGGCTGGTGCTGCAGGGAGTGGGTGGGCAGCAGGTGCTGCTGCAGGGCCTATGGAGGAGCTCGTGCCACGTGGGGCTGTGGGTTTTATTTCAAGTGTGGTCGGTCTGGGAGCTCATTGTGGTGTGGGCAGCCATGTGGGGACAGCCAGGACATGTATTTCGTAGAATGACACAAGGGTTTGGGTTGGGAGGGACCTTAAAGATCATCCAGTCCTGGCCATGGACAGGGACACCTTCCACTAGCCCAGGTTGCTCTGAGCCCCGTCCAACCTGGCTTTGGACACTTCCAGGGATAGGGCAGCCACAGCTTCTCTGGGCAACCTGTGCCAGGGCCTCCCCACCCTCACAGCCAAGAATTCCTTCCCAATATCCCATTTAACCCTGCCCCCTGGCAGTGGGAAGCCATTCCCTCTTGTCCCATCCCTCCATCCCTTGTCCCAAGTCCCTCTCCAGCTCTCCTGAAGCCCCTTTAGGCGCTGGAAGGGGCTCTGAGGTCTCCCTGGAGCCTTCTCTTCTCCAGGTGAACACCCCCAGCTCTCCCAGAGCAGTTTGTAGGCTGCTGACCTGGACATGCCTCTCCATGTCTGTGCCCACAGGCCAACCTCATCCATGAGCCACTGGTGGTGTTTGTGTGTGCAACCACCGGCCAGGGAGACCCACCTGATAACATGAAGGTAGGACATATTCCTGTCCATGTTGCTTTTATGTTCCTGATCCAGGGAATTCTCTCTAGAAGCAGCTTGAGCAGTGGTTGTTTTTGGAGGGGGGAGCACCAGTCACCTCTCATGGGACACGGGCAGGGAGCTGGTGAGGGGGCTTTCAGAGGCCACCTCTGCAGGAGTGCTCCCCGCTCTGCTGGGGTTCAGGATGGGGGCAGAGCAGGGATGTGGGGGCTGCAGGCAGGGCAGGCTGCCTGGGCAGCAGCAGGACTCCCCGGCCGTGTCCTCCGTAGATGTTCTGGCGGTTTCTGTTCCGGAAGAACCTGCCGCCCGGGTCCCTGTGCCAGCTGGACTACGCCGTGCTGGGCCTTGGCGACTCGTCCTACCCCAAGTAAGCAGCTCTGCAGCTCCTGGATGGCTGCTCCTCACAGCTCTGGCTGCGGGAGGGAGCAGAGTGGCTGGAGAATGGAGGGGGTGGGGGGAGACAGAGCCTGACTCCAGATGAAATGAAATGAAATTCCCACCAGCCTTAAAAATCCTTGTCCTACCAGCCTGTGTCCCTCCCAAATCCCAGGAATTAGGCTTCTGCCCATTTCTTCCCCCCCAGCCTCTCCAAGCAGCTGGTTTGCTGCAGTGGGTCAGACATCAGGTGTCAGTCATTTATTGCAGCCTTTCAGTTTTCCATCTGAACTGCAGGGAAGCAACTCTGTGCCACAGCACAGGCTGTGCCACTTGCCAGTGGGCCAAGGCAACAGGAGACATCAAACACAAATGGCAGCCAGCCCTGTTGGTACCAGTTCTATCCCAAAAGATTGTTCCCACGTGCCTGAAAGAGCTGTAGTGGGAGGGGTAGGTGTGCCAGAACTCCATGGGACGCATGGGGCGGTGAGGGGCTGGAGTGAAGGAAGTGTTCTGTGTCCCTGAAGGGAAGCAGGACCTCCATAAGTTCCTTCTGGGAGCTAGGCACAGCCCATGAGGCCCAGCAAGTGGCAGGCAACTGCTCCTGTGAGCTGCCCCAGATTGGGGCACAGACTGGGCAGGGCACAGGCCAGGTTGTGGTGCTGCCTCTGCGGCTCCTGTGGCCCTGGCAGCAGGTGCTGGCTTCTGTGGGCACTGCCTGCTGTGCTGCTGGAGCAGCCCTGCCTTCACAGCTGTGTTATTCTCTGCTTAGGTTTAATTTTGTTGCAAAGAAGCTGCACAAACGGGTGCTACAGCTTGGGGGCAACCCGCTGCTGCCAGTGGCCTTGGGAGACGACCAGCATGATCTGGGGTAAGAGCCATGGGGAGGTGTGGCAGGGGGGAGCCCCAGGGTGCACTACAGCTCTGTCCTTGGGCTGCTGGCAGGGCTCTGTGTGCTTTACACACAGCCCTGCTGTGCCTGGGGAACAGCAGCGTGCTGCTCCCACCACGGGGCTGCTCCAGCAGCTCTGTGAACGTGCTGATCTCTGCTCATAACGTTCCTGTGCCAGGACCTGGGTCACCTGCTTCTCCGGGGTGTCCCACGACCCCCAGGATGTACCAGCATCTCCTGGCTCAGCCCCAGTCCTGTTCAGAGCGGGGGTATGGCTGTGTCACACAGCCACGTGCCTGCAGCAGCCTGACCTGTGCTCACCTGGCATGGGGCAGAGGCTCTGTGTGGCTCAGGGAATTGGTGACGGCCACAGGTGGTGCTCAGGGGGCTTGTGCTTCTGTTCAGGTGTCAGTGGTTGGGCTCCAGAGAGCGAGTGCTCAGAGTGTCTGAGACATGTTTCCTCCCAGACCTGAAGCTGTCAGGGAGCAGCCTGGGGTGACTGTGCAGTGCAAGGGGAGCGGGGCTGCCCCAGCATTGGGCAGGTGCAGGGGTAGCAGGGCTTGGGCCCTAAGGGATTATGTTGTTCTGCTGCAGCCTGAATTTCCCTCTTGCAGGCCGGATGCAGTGGTTGATCCGTGGCTTGTGGCCTTATGGGACAAGATCCTCGCTTTGTATCCTCTCCCTCCTGGCCTTGAGATCATCAGCCCAGACACACGGTGGGTGCAGAGGGTGGGCAGGGTGGGCCCCAGCAGGGACTGGCTGGTGTGCAATGCCACAGTTCCTTGGCTGTTCTCCAGAGTGGAGATGTGCTCTGCCTTGACCAGGAACCCTTCCCACACAGCTGCTGGTGTCCCAAGTGTTCCTTATTCTTTGGCCACTGATGGCCCACTTCTCTCTGGATGGTGTGTCCCCTTGTCCCCCGTGGGTGTGTGTCAGCTGCCCCAGCCAGGTTGTGCCCATCTTGCCATCCTGATGTGCCTCTGCCCCTGGCAGACTGTGTGTGCCCAGCCAGCCTCCCTCTGCCTGTTCTGGAGCCTTTGGAATCTCCTGGCTGTCTGCATTGCATTCCCTTACAAAAGCCAGCTCCAGGGAACAGGAATGATGGGTGGTGGATGCAGTGGGAAACTCCAGGCTTCGCCCTGGAGCAGCAGAGGAGCTGTGGCATGGAGTAACCACTGCATTGCTCTCCTCTCCACAGCCTGCCCCCAAAATACACCCTGCACTACCTGCCTGAGGACTCCCCACCCCCCGAGGGTGCCCTTCTCCAGCCGACAGCGCCCAGGGCTGTTCCCTCCGAGCTCCATCCCTTCGCTGCCCCCGTGGTGTCCAACCAGCGGGTCACGGCACAGTCCCACTTCCAGGACGTCCGGCTCATCGAGTTCGACATCACGGGCTCGGCGATCACGTGAGCATTTCCCTGACTCCCCCAAGC